AAGAATTCTGGGAACTGTGGTTTGTTAAGGGTGCTAAGAGTTGCTAGGAGACCCATATTCCCCTCAGAGCTGCAGTCAGAATGGCTTAACAATCAACCCCTCTTACAGCGAACTCTGGAAATGGTTCAGAGTGGTACAATACTACTTTAAATATGGGGCATAATAATAATACCCCGCCTATCTGGCTGCGTTGCCCCAGCCAATCTGGGTGGCTTCCAACACACATAAAAGCATCACAAAATATCAAACATTAAGAACATCCGGATATAGGGCTTACTTCTTAGAGACATAAGGCTAAAATCCTATGCACAGGTGCTAGATAGGGACCTCCATTAAGGCAAGTTTAGCTGTCACTTCCACAAAGCTTGATGATAAAATGGAAATGAGCACCAAACTTGTGCTGTAATCTGTTTCCAGAACTAGCTCAAATATAGTGCAGAAATCATTGAAGAGGGAAACATTAGGAAAACAGAAGAAATTGCCATGTGAATGCTGCCTATGTGACCTTTTCTGTCTTTTCATTTCTATGGCTAGCTAGTTCTTCAAAGAAGAAAACGGGAAAGACCAAAAAGATCTTAAATGCATACAGTGTGAGAACCTGCAAACTGAGTGGTAGTCTTGAACACAGCATATCTCTGTGTTCATCTCAGAGTCATTTTATAGACTGCACTGTGCTGTTCCTACATCAAAGGTGGGATACCTCTCTCCCCCCAGGTGAGATGACATTGGACTCTAACACCCATCAGTCCCATCCAGCATGGCTTATGGTCAGGAATCATAGGAGTTGTAGTCCATCTTGAGGGCCACAAGGTCCCCACCCTTGCCCTACACTGGAAAAGAGAAGAGCTGTAACTACGTAAGTGGTAGAATAGCAGGCCTAGCATGTGGAAGATTCAATCCCCAGCATCTCCAGGTGTGTCGGGGGGGGGGGGACTTTTCATCTGAAATCCAGTGAAATTGCAGCCAGCTCACAATGGGCTCATTCCCTATAAAGGCAATTTCCTATCTCCCTAGGAAAGAATCATTAGGTTGAATAATGTATTGCACTGGGTGGATGCACTTCAGGGATCAAGATACCAGAGGAAGCCACATCTCCATAGCAAAACCATCAAGCAAATACAAACAGTTCTCAGAGATGTGAGGGTAAAATATTCTTTTTTATGCTGAAATAATTTTAATTGTCAGTCTCATCTGTCATGTGAGACACCATGTAAAACTTGCCTGTTGCTTTAATAAGGGAGAGAGAGATAAATGTGATCGCTCTTTCCCTCTTTTGCTTCCTATATTTGCCCCTGTTTGTTTTTTAGCTGCACTTTGCTTTTGATATTTATTACAAAACAAACAAAACCCAAAGCTCGATGAAAATGAAGTCAACCAAAGTGGTTGTTCCAAAAAGCAGCACAACAGCTCGTAAGCATCACTTGGGTGCATCTGCCTGACATCACTCAGGGCCAAACTAGCCCATGATGGAAGCTTGATTTAAATGGCCATCTGCCCCAGTCAAGTGGCACAAGATGTTTGTGTGTGTGTATGGTTCATTTTTAGAACAGTAAAAAGACCCTGGACCGGCCTCCAGTTGACCCAGAAACCAATCAAAGCTGGGCGGAGCGTCATCCAATCAGGAGAGAGCAGGATGTTAGAAGTTAGAACCTGACATTTAAGATAGGAGTTGACTGCCTGTGAGAGCTCAGATAGGGCTTGTCTGTCAGTAAGAGTTAGTGCTTGGAATGTGGCTAGATAAGGATGAACTCAGAGCCTAGGAAGAGCTGAAATATGGGTTACCTAAGCAGGGCAATTCTGTTTCCCTGAGGGGAAAGCAGACAACCTAGAAGGGGCTGGGAGTATTTTTGTAGTTTAATGCCAATAGCCATTCTAGGAGGAATTGGTTTAATTAGGAACATGCTAAAGTGTGAATTTTGAGAACATTCTTAATTATCTTTGTAAAGAGTGCTTCTCTGAAACCAAGTGTGGTGCCTTTTCAGAGTAACCAGTAAGCTATATACTTCATTAAGTGTATATATAAAAAAATCTAGTTTTATTTTAAAGGTTCCTCATCCGAATTGGCTGGATATTATCAACCCTGAATCTATTGAAAGTGGTTGGGCATTAAAACAAATATTTGTCATTCATGTTGAATTGACTCTTTAGAATGGTGACCATTCAGAAATGGAACATTTATCACTTGCATGCAAAATTTAAGGCTATTACATTACTAGTCTATTTTGCTTGGCTCACCATAATTAATTAATTACAAGAATTGACCATGGCATCAAAACTAATTTCATAATTTGCATCTGCTGAATTGGTGACTCTCAGTATATTGTTGCAGAGCTGCACTGGGGGTTTAAGGTGATGCCCTGCAGAGAGTGCTAGGCCTCAGTACCCAGTAATGCTCACCATTGGACATGTTGCCTGGGGCTGATGGGAACTGTAATCTCACTACATCTGAAGGGCACCACATTGACAACTTCTGGTTTATACCATTAAACTATCATAAGAATCCTTGCATGTGATACGTTATTTTTTTTTGCTCAAACATCAGGCTTATAGAACAGAACAGAATAGAACAGAAACAAATAATAGCATTAATATTCCATCGTATGAATGGATATGTGTGCACCACAACATAAATAAGGAAAATCTGAAGCTCTTTGAGCTATTTGTAGATAACTGTTATGTTATAAAGCCATAGCTTGGTTCAAAATGGATTTCTTCAATATCATCTTGCACATGTCAATACCGTTAATTTTGGGAATATCAAGGAGACTCATATTTTCATTACTGAAAACAGTCTTGGCCTATTCTTTCCCCAATCCGGTTTTATGTTACCATCTCCAAAAGCATTGATTTCACATGATATATGTTAACCGTGATATTTTCACTCAACAGCTTCCCACTGTTAATCGATAGCTAAAATCAAGGGCATAGCTTCCCAGGTACCCTCCAAGTTCACTTAGAAGTCAAGGAATTTGTATTTTGTGCATGCATAACATATTCATTTTTGATGTGTGCTTTTAGTCATGATTTGAGGAAGGGGGTGTCATTGCCTTCCCCCACCAATTCTTTTTTTTTTTTAATGTAAAGCCCATAAATGATTTATGCTTAGACCAAGTCATTTCCTATCAAGGTCAAAACTCATCTTGCAGGGGAAGCTGAAATGCAGAGGCCCTTGTAGGAAAGCAACACTGGGTATGGCAATGTCAGGAATTCAAAAAACAAAACAAAATTTTGTTATTGCAAAAGATTGCAGGAGAGAGAGATTGCTCAAAATTTTGGTTAAGGTCGCTGATATCCCCTGGGAAGAGGGATTGGTTGTTAAACCAATCTTGAAACTGTAGCTCGGGCGTTGGGAATAGGGGTCTCCAAGCAACTATCAGCAGCCTTAATAAACAACAGCTCCTATAATTATTCAGGGGAAGCTATGACTGTTAAGGTGGTATAATAGTACTTAAAATGCATGGTGTGAAGGTGGCCTAAGTCCTAACCAGCGTAGACCCAGTGAAATTAATGGGTCTAAGTTAGGCATGTGCATGCATTTCCATTGGTCCACTCTGAGTAGAATTAACATCAGAGACAACCCATTATTATCCTCAGAGTTGACCCCTTGCAAATGATGGGTTTAAGTTAGTCATACCAATTGGTTTCAGTAGGTCAGCTCTGACTGTGACACTTAGGTCTGCCATGGTGTGAGCAGAACAGGCTTCTGCTTGTGCAAAGGGAATCCCTCTCCCTCCCCCCGCCAAGATCCAGAAGGTTGAGGAACCATCTGGGGCAGACATAGGGGGCTGCCGGGGTGCGCGTGGGGTGGGAATGGAAAGCCCCATTGCATGAGAGAAGTCCGCTCATGCAGTGTTGACTATGACCTGTTATATTTATTAATGCCACAGAATGCTTGTACATGGACCCTTGAAGAGTTTCATAGGCAACACAGACCACCCACAGCCATATGAGCCTACTTGGCAGCTGAGATCGCAGTTGGAGACTATTCTCAGGTGTCCCCACCTGTGAAGTTTAGGTGGGTAGCTACTGGGGAGAATATAACCTGTCCCTAGACCTTGATGTTCTATTTACCTGAAGAATGAATGAATGCAGACCGGCTGAACTTTCTGCTCACTGAAAAGCTTGGCTTGCAGATGGTAGTAAAGCTACCATCCAGGACAGACTTTCCCCATATGAACATGCAATCATAATATCAGGTCCTTCTTCATGCACCTCTTCTATGAGAGGTGCAGAGGGCAACAACACAAGAAAGGGTGTTTTCTGTGGTGGCACCCCATTTGTGGAACGCTGTTCCCCGGGAGGCCCACCTGGTGCCTTCATTACATATCTTTAGGCACAAGGCAAAAACATTCCTCTTCTCCCAGGTCTTTGGCTAATTAGAAAATCTATGACCTTTTAAACTGTGTAGTGTGTGTTACTGTTTTTGTTATTATGGTATGTGTTTTTTGTGTTTTTATATTGTAAACTGCCCTGTGATATTTGAATGAAGAGTGGTATGAAAATTTAATTTGATGATGATGATGATATCACGAACAGTTCCACATGAAACAGAAGCAGATCTGAAGGAGCTGAATTAATCTGATAAATGTCTCTGTTTGGCCTGGTCCCCTTGTGGCAATTATGCTTCCAACAAGGAAGAGTTCAGAAGTTTTGAGCATAATTGACAGATGGCAGAACCCAGAGAACAAGCTCACCTTCAGCTTGTGGGTGGGCTGCAAGCAAATGTCAGTGGTGGAAAAAATGTTTCTATAATGCTCCAGCAGAGGAGAAGTTTCTTGACTCCTGAGAAGATGCTACTTGTCCTTAGCAGATAAAAATTATTTGCTGAGATCGTGTGTGCAAAATTATATCTCTTACAAAGAAGTGTGACTAAAGCACTGATCAAGGTGAGCAGATATAGGAAGCTGCCTTACACTGAGTCAGACTATTGGTCCATCTAGCTCAGTATTGTCTACACCGATTGACAGCAGCTCTCCAGAGTTTCAAACAGGAGTCTCCCCCAGCCCTTCCTGGAGATTCCAGGAATTGAATTTAGGACTTTCTGCATGCAAAGCAGATGCTTTACCACTGAGCTAAGGGCCTTTTCTGGAATGCATTTGCCTGTACTGTTACCACCAGGCCTTACCTTTCTGGATCAAACAGTTGTCAGCGTGTGTCAGATTTTCATCAGCACAAGATGATCTCCACCCCAAGCCAACAATGGTGGATCAATCTAAACTCTACTTTCTGTCAATTGTAGAGAGTTTGTAGAAAAGGATTATCTGTGGTGCTGTATAATGGAGTTAATGTTCAAGGCTCAAACTAGACATGATAGCAACAGTTCCATGTGTTTGATAGTGTAATCACTAGCTGTGGATATATACCTGCTCAGAAATAACACACACTGCATTTAGTGGGACCTACCTCCTGGGAAGTGTTATAGGATTATATTAATTTACAAGAACTTGGGGCCAGGATACCTTAAGGTTTGCCTGACCCCTTACATCCCTGAGATCTTTGGTGGAGTCACTGTTAGTGGTCCCCCATGATTCAGACACAGAGCTCACATCTTTAAAGGGTTCAGTATTATGGACATAATTCTGTGGAATTCCTTTCCAGCTGAGATCAGACATTGAACTTCCATCTTCTGCTGAAGACCTTTTTATTTCAGCAGGCATTTTTAGCAAGCTTTCTGATTTTACAGCTCATTTTAACTGGTTTTCTCTTTATTATACCTTTTGCAATCTTACTGTAGGCTGCTTCAAAACCAAGGTGTTATGTAGCATATAAATAGTTGAAATAAATAAATAACTATGCCTCAACCATGTAGAAAGATAGGGGTCTGTTTAAAATTTAAGTGGGTGGGTACCTCCATCTTATTAATGGTTTCAGAAAATCTTAATTTTAACACAACAATTGGAAATATGAACACTTGGGTGGTCAGCTCATTGTGTGGCCATTTTGGCAGAGTGATTAGAGGTTAAATGAGGATATTCTTATATAATCCATCAAACTGATCTTTTAAGAAAATGAAGTGTAGGATCCTTTTAGAAAGAGATCTTGGCAGTTCTGCGTGGCAGAAATATAAGACGATGCATTTTTCTGTGAGTACATCATTGAAAGTGATGCCCAATGTAAGTTCCTCTGTAAATGGTATAAGGTGAGGTAAAGGACCCCTGGATTGTTAAGTCGACTATGGGGTGTGACACTCATCTCTCTTCAGGCCAAGGGAGCCGGCGTTTGTCCACAGACAGCTTTCTGCGTCATGTGGCCAGCATGACTTAACTGCTTCTGGCGCAATGGAACACTGTGACGGAAGCCAGAGCACATGGAAACACCATTTACCTTCCTGCCACAGCAGTACCTATTTATCTACTTGCACTGGCATGCTTTCGAACAGCTAGGTTGGCAGAAGCTGGGACAGAGCAATGGGAGCCCAGCCTGTTGTGCTGATTTGAACCGCCGACCTTCTGATCAGCAAGCCCAAGAGGCTCAGTGGTTTAGACCACAGCGCCACCTGCGTCCCATAAATGGTTTATGATACCCTGAAAAATGAATAGACTATATAGAATGAATGTATCTGTACATTTGACAAGTGGAATGATGGGTGCAGATGCATACCATGTGCTATGAAGTTGCCACAAAGTTCAAAGTTGCTGGGGTCTGTGATAGCAAATGTTTGCTATCACTATGTCAGGTTTGACCCACAGAACCTGCAGTTGTGATGGCAGGTTGCAGCTGTGATGGCAGGGTGGCAGAGGGGTCAAAGACCCGTTAGTACTTCTGTAGCAGGCTCCTTGCAAGTTCCCTACCTCCAGCATCCTATAACTGCCCAATCAACATGAAAAAGGAGCTTTTTAAGCACTGGGTGGGGGTCCTAGTTCAGTTGCTCAGCACTCCCTAGTTGATACTTGACCTGAGTCTTCACAGAGGTCCTCACAACCAAAGTGGGTTGTTCAGAGCAATGGTTTGACTCTGTTTGTGGCAGTTTCATTTGTTCATAATAAGAAAATAATGAAAGTGTGAAAAAATTGTACTTGGAAGAATGTACTTGCAGCATTGCTTCTTTTTCTTAAGATTTCCTCGCTCAGCAGATATTGAACAAAAACATAGTAATTGGGAAATAGATCTAAAGAGAACAGTGCAATTTGAAGGATTTAAAATGAGATTTTTTATTTTTATTTTTTAAACGATATTTTCCTGCACAGTGTTACAAAGCAGCAGAGTGGGTTAAATAATAAAAGGGTGGAGTTTTTCCTTCTCTTCTTCTTGCTTCTCACGTCTGCCAAAAGTCAGAAACAGCTTGGGGACTCAGTTCTCCTGACCCACCATTAAGGGGTCTATTATGATTGCATCTTTTGCAAAGTATGGAAAAATAATGGGCATTATTCTGCCTTAGCACCACTTAAAAAGATATAAACCACTAGGGGGTTAATAGCATTGGAGAAAATCTTGCCTTGTGCAAGCTTGATTTTCTCTGCCTGTCTCTTATTGTGTAGTTTGGGATAGAGCAATGGCAATATCTAGTTAAAAGAAATTTTCAAGAATTTAATGAGCTTTGGCTGCACTTCCTAGTTTATGTCAGGAAGTGTCCTTGACAAACTTGCTGGTGCAAGCAGGTAGTGCCTGGGGTGTGTGCAGGTGGGAAAACACTGCAGAAAACTGTAATATAAATGACCGCACCTGAGAGTAGGTGAGAAAGTGTAATCTAACTGTGGGATAGAACAGCTTCTCTATGGAATTCATATTGCTTTCAAGCCAACATAAAGCCTGACCCATTTGGGCGTTGGGATGTACAAAGCTATCAATTTCTCATTTCTTCCAGCCTTAAGTTTAGTTCATCACATTTCTACATCAGTTTGTCTGTTGAAGGTGCTGAGAGTTGTTAGGAGACCCATATTCCCACCACAGAGCTACAATTCCCAGAATTCCCTGGGAATAGAGTTTGATGGTTAAGTCACTTTGGGAACTGAATCTCCATGTGGAGAACAGAAGAAGAAGAAGAAGAAGAAGAAGAAGAAGAAGAAGAGGAAGAGGAGGAGGAGTTTGGATTTGATATCCCGCTTTATCACTACCCAAAGGAGTCTCAAAGTGGCTAACAATCTCCTTTTTCTTCCTCCCCCACAACAAATACTCTGGGAGGTGAGTGAGGCTGAGAGACTTCAGAGAAGTGTGACTAGCCCAAGGTCACCCAGCAGCTGCATGTGGAGGAGCGGGGAATCGAACCCTGTTCACCAGATTACAAGTGTACCGCTCTTAACCATTACACCACACTGGCTCACAGGGGTTTCCTAACAACTCTTGGCACCCTCAACAAAGCTCAGGATTTGCAGGATTCTATTGCGGGGTTTGGGGGTGGGAGCCATGAAAATTAAAGTGGTGTAGTTGGGTTTTAAATATACGATGCAGCTATGGTTGGAACTTTCTGCTCTGAGGCTACATCACCAAACTTTAAATGTATGATGCAGATGTAGCCTGAGAGTGGAAGGTTTCAGGTACATCACCAGGCAAAGCCTGACTCTTGAAGGGAGCCTGAGCGTATCTACCGAGGGAAGCAGCAACATGTTGCCTCCAACTTTTACAGGAATGAATTATGAGGACAAGCTGGAGGAGGGGAAAACTTTAACCTTAGCGGGAAAAAAAGGAATAAGCAGATCTAATTAAAGGGCTCAAACTCTATAATGGTAGAGCGAATGTCAGCATTATTCATAACTCTTTGCAGGGAAAAAATTGACAAAAGAGCACAAATGGAATTCAAATTAAAATAAAGACACAAGGGAGCATCCTCCTCTGTCTAAAAGTAATAAGTGTTTTGGAACGAACTACCTGGCAGGGTTTTGGAGGTGAAGACACCAAGGGCATATCCAAGAAGCTCCTAGTTTCAGCACTGTTGAAACACGCTATTAATATGGATGAGCTCTTAGTACGCAGAGGAGCTCAACCTGCACTGCAAATGCCGACAGATGCTTGATTCCTTACAGGAAAAGGACACAACCTGGAAAGCCGGATTGAGAAGGGACCAAAGTCCTTCAACTGGGCAAAGGCCTCTTTTGCTTGACTTTGGCACTTCTGTTGTGATCTCCATGACGGCATCACTGATTGCGGTTCTCCAACACGCCGTGGCCTGGCCGGAGGAGGAAGAGGGCTTCTCTGTTTCTGCATTTGGAAACATCTTCCAAGCCCTTCTGCGGGGTTCCTGAAAAATTTAGCAGCCTAGCAAAAGAAACGTTAGCTCCCCATGCTCACTAAATCGCTGAAAATAAATAATTCACTACAATTTGTTCATAAAACATATTTGGTGGAGGGGGTGGGGAATTACTTTTTTTTTTTGGATGCTGAATGATGGTTTCAGCTAATCAGCTTTTGCCTTCTGCTGGCTTCCCATGACACTCCATCACACACATCCTGGTTGATCATCAGTCCTCATGGAAGCGTTGGTGGCACTTGGACTGTCACTTCTGATGAATGCCTCTTCCATCTTTACATTGTTCTCCTGCTAGCCCTGACCCAAAGCATTTTGCTCTGGTTACTAAGGTCCAAGATGCAACTGAACTTCACAGAATGTCAACTGGTTTGTTCATTTATTCATTAAACTTATTGTAGTTGCTTATCACCCAAGGGGACTCCACGTAACTGGTACATTGTAAAAAAATATATATATGCATAAATTCCTGCACTGCTGGAGGATGGACTAGATGACTCTCAGGGTCACTTCCAATTCTACAATTCTTTGATTTTATGAATCCTTTACCATAGAAAAAGGGGGATCATATACCACATTTACATTGCATGCAATATACTGGGAAAACATTCCCAGCATGCAGAGAATAAAACAATACTCCCACCCACCAACTAGCAGATAGAAATAAAATCCCAGCATTCACCCCCTCCCTAGCCCAAAATCTATTTTGGCAGCCCCCTCTAAAAAAAGTTCAAAAACTCCAGCATCAACAGCAGCTGCTGTAAATCAGTGGTGGGTGAGAAGGTCTTCCATGTATGGTCCTGGGGGTGTGGCTGGCATGCACAGCCCTATGGGTCCTACTGATGCTATAATATTTCCTCTTCAGGCACAACTTCTGAACAGGGCTTTAATAATACCCTTTTCTGGAAAACTCTGGATGCCGAGCATCCTGCTGGAGGAGGAAATGGCTATTTATAAGGAACATGAAATGCTGAGAAATGGACTAGGTCTCGTTCTCTGTTATATACAATCCCTCATATTTTATTCCTGGGTGGTACCCTACAGAAATCATAGCTAAAGAGCCAATTTATCTTCAAGCCTCTCACATTACTTCACTCAGAGCGGATTATAAATCTCAAATCAAGCCCAGCTGGTTGTACAAATGATATATTTCTTTCATTACTGACCTTTTATTGCCTCTCTCTGGCATGGACACACAACTTTTTATTATTAGTAGTATGAGAGAGAAGGTTTTCCACAGCATTGCATTAATGTGCACTGTGGACTTTCGCTTACTCTACAGAATAGACAAGGGTACTTTTGGATGGCATCCTGCCTTCCACAAAGAATTGCAGGTCCTGAAGCTGTCACACAGAATAGATAGCCAGTACTCTGGGCAGAGGAGCGCACAAGTTCATGCCCTATGTTCTAGTAAGACTGGCTCAAGTTTCAAGGTGCCATGAGCAAAGTGCCTTTGGGAGAGGCTGTAGCTCAGTGGCGCAGCATCGGCTTTGCATGCAGAAGGTCCCAGGTTCAATCCCCGGCATCTCCAAGTAAGTGCTGGGAAAACCCCCCTTCTTGAAATGCTGGAGAGCCTCTGCCAGTTGGTGAAGATAATACTGAGCTAGATGGACCTATGGGCTGATGCAGTATTTTCTTGCTAAATCATTCTGGGAGTAGATAGCCCTAAGAGTGGCAACAGAAAAAGAATTCTTCCATTCATGCCCTGTTATTTTCTATAATGGAGCTTAATGTGGTGTGCATGATATTTCTAGGCGATTACCCATCTAGGCACCAACCAAGCCCAGAACTGATGAGAAGTGCCAGCAAATCCATGTGCCTTTGCAAGTTCCAACAAACAGCTGATTGACAATATGTTTGCAAAGTACAGTTTGATTTTCAAACTGTGTGGACAAAGAGAAACACTTCTGCTGACACTATGGTGACATCAGATGATTGACAGCTAGTTAGGGATGCGGGATCATGTTTGATTGAGCGCATGTTTAAAGGTGAACTTATTCAATTTGCCACTTTCCAAAACAATGTATGAATTGAAATGTAGCCACCATTCTACAATTTGCGATGCTCCGAATTTTGTAATGCAGTATCTCCAGCCAATTAACTTGTACAAAACTGCATATACTGGGGTTAAACGGGCATAAGAATGCATACGTTTATGAAAATAGCGTACAAAAATGCATTCCATTAGGGGAAATTGCTTTGCTAAAATGAGTACGTTAGGCAAAATTGCACAGGTATATAAGGAGAAATCTGCTTATGAATTTTCATGAGGACTCTTTTTTTTATTATTGCAAACCAATGTAGAAATATGGAGAACTGAACTTAAGAATTGGGGTGGGGATGAGAAACTGAGAGAAGCTGAAATTGGCAGATTTGCCCACCCCTACAGCTGGCCAGCACCACTCACCTGTCAAAGTAGCCCATGGGGTTTGACGGGATCAAATCATCCAACCCACCAGTTGGGAACAGATCCTTATCCCTGGATTTTTTTTTAAAAAAAGTTAAAGCACATAAAGCCAAATGCAAACTCAAATGCAAGTTAAAATAGCAGCAGCAGCAGCAGCACATAGCTGTTAAAGTGGCAGGACCCTCCCAGGGATATCAACCACTATCTTCCACCAGAGAATAGATTAAATTCCCAAATGAGGGTGGGCGGAGAGAGAGAACTTCAAGGGTCATTGGATTTTGCTCAGTCTCATTATACCACCTGGAGAGTCCTCAGACTTTTTCCTGGTGGCTATGGGAATATTATTGAGAGATGCCAACTTGATCCTCTCTCTGCTTCTATGTTTGTCCTGGAAAAAAATTCCTCAAAACAAACACGCGGAACCCACTATGTTGGAGAGTGACAAATCTCTCGCCTTCACCCGCAGGGACCAAATGCGACTTACAACTGCTGAGTGAATAATTAGTTGTAATTAGCACTAGAAATTGATGCCTTTGGAGATAGTCTGCCAACTTTTTAAGCACTTTAATACTAATGGCTTTCCCCCCCTAGGAATAAATCTTTACAGGCGGAAGCAAGCACAAATTGATTTTTAAAGAGCCTGTCCAATGTGGAATTTATCTTTCAAAAACGTTAGGTTTGTTTTTTTTTTTTGAAAAAAACCATTACCTTCTTTACCTTTACAGCGTGGTAATGCATTTTCAATCGGCTCGTTTTTCTTCAAAATATATTTTTCTGTCAATGTGGGTCCATTTCTTTTGGAAAAATACGTCTACAGGTGGCACATACATCTGTAGAAGGTGTTGGGATAAAATATGACATGTAATAAAGTCTTTTTAGTTCCTAAGTCATTTGTTGCATGTGAGAAAATGTCCTATGTTGGTGATAATGGGATCTTAATGCCATTTTGAAGCTCTTGTACAAATGCTGCATCTGTTTTCATACGATGCTAAAATTTATTGGCAAAACCCAGTCTGCAAACCTAGTTTAGGTGAATGGAAGCCCAGTGTGTGAATGAAATATATGCATTACACACTTAAACACATGGACAGAATACGAGTCCAATTGTAGGGGGGAATCAGTTTGGTTCAACTTTGGCAATCTCTTGCAGGGAACTTGACCATGATTTCTATCTTCCAAAGGCCTACGAAAATTGCAGTGCTTTTTAAAACTATGACTCCATCAAAGCAATATTTTCAGATCCTGTGCTGAATGAAGATCTTTTGGGAATGAATGGATTTCATTCTCTTTGAAATAATCTCCCCCAAAAGAGAGAGATGTGGGTCTCTTCCTTTTGTGTTCCAGTGATGAGTTGTATTTTCCATCTCCTGTTTCCATCAAACTAACAGCTGTTTGTCAATTACACACGGTTAATAATGCTGCATTTGCTGGTGTTTCTTAAATAACTACAATGCAGACTTCCTAATTAGCTGGAGTAATTAGACTGTCATTAATACTATGCTGCATTTTTCCTCTTCGGCTTTTTGAAAAGCTGAGGCAGCCTTTCGTTTAGGGAATCAAAATGGGAGCAAGCAGCTGCATTTCCAAAGAGCAGTATTCTGCCTCCATTTTGTGTCTCCCCTCATGGACACCTTGACTCAGAGCCATTGTGGCGCAGTGGTTAGAGTGTTGGACTCTAACCAGTAGGACCTAGGAAGACCAGGGTTCAAATCCTAACTTGGCTATGAAGTTCACTGTATGACCTTGGACCAGTCATTGCCTCTCAGCCTAACCAACCTCACAGGATTGTTAGAGAGATTAAATAAGGAGTGATGAACCTTGTACAGGGATATACAGAAATAAGTAAATACATGCATACATACATGCATACTCTGCAATCTGGGCTCTCTCTGACCAAGGAAATCAGGTGCTTTCCACTGCTACTTGCAAGCTGCTTATAAGTGTCAGTTACTGTATGCTATACCCCTTGATAGTAGAGTGAAGCTATTTAATGTATTGTTTTGCCTTTTTTTCAAATGGGTCATCGATCTGTTCATACCCTCCAACATTCCCAGATGAAAAGAGGTACATTTCCCACTGTCCCCAAACTGACCCTCCTCAACCCCCCATTTTTGCCCCTGTCCCCCCCAGAGCATTCCTATCAGAAGAAGGGCAAGTGCCACTACCACTTCACCAAGGGGACACAGCACAACCCCCCTCCACCATCCTGAGAAAAGCCCCTAATCCCTATTCTAGTCTATTCTGTTCTTTGGTATACAGTTGTACTTTGGAAGTCGGATGGAATCCGTTCTGGAAGTCTGCTTGACTTCCAAAACGTTTGGAAACCAAAGTGCGGCTTCTGTTTGGCTGCAGTAAGCTCCTGCAGCCAATCAGAAGCTGCAGAAGCCCTGTTTGGCTTCCAAAAATAGTTCACAAACTGGAACAGTCACTTCCAGGTTTGCGGCGTTTGGGAGCCAAAACATTGGACTTGCAGGGCATTTGGGATTCAAGGTAGGACTATATTTACAAAAAGAAAAACATACACCAATAAATAAATTTTAGAATTTTAGACACGGATGCACAAAGCATCTTTTTAATTGAAAAAGCATGACTCTGTGCACTCTGCTCCTGATTTATTCCACCCAGGGCGGCCCTGCCCTTTGCCTGCCCCTCAGACACAGCACATCACACAAGGCTGGGCCTCAGTGGCAGCAGCCTGTCCTCCTCCTTGTCCGCCCTCCAGCAGCCGCTATGAGCTGCCCAAGGAAGGAAGCCAGCAGCAGCGACCCTGGAGAGGCCCTGGAGAAGCAACAGAGATGCTCCCTCACTACTGCTGCTCGGGACAATTGCTGGCTCATCTTCCTCTCTCAGCTCAGCATGATAGCAGTGGCGTCAGCTCAAGATCCTATGGACTCCAAGGAGGTTGAAGCTGAAGCCCTCCTTTTCTCTGGAGAGTGCTTGTCCGGGAAGCACACCCATCAGACGGGCAGAAGGGGAACTCCATGCCTGCTTTGCTTCTCAGTAGCATTGCCAGCTCAGGAGCACCCCAGACACTGTGATTTCAGGGCCCAAACCTGAGACCTAGGGGCAGTCCCTGGTGATGTCATAGGGGAAGGACACGGTGATGTCACAGGGGCAGCCCCCAGTGATGTCATTAAGCATGATGCATTGAGAATCAACCACAGTTGCTGAGAGCGTGTCATTCAAATAAAAAGTCTCAGGGTCTAATAAATGAGCATATATGCCACTGGTTGGAAATTAAGATAGGAACCTTAGCTAAAGGTGGCGTTCCCAGGTCCAGCTGAAGCAAGAGGGTCATTCCGTCTCACCAGCATAGTGAGGGAAGGCCATCTCAACCAGAGAGGAAAGCCCTTCCCTTGCCACCTAGTGACAAGAAGGCAAACCTGGGTACTTTAGGTTGGCCCAGAGGAGTCTGGAAACCCCACTTTGCAGGCGGCAGCTCGTGGGAGACCAATGGAGGCTGTCAGGGCTGGGCAAAGGAATATCTCCATGAAAGCCAATCCTTCCTGCCATCCTGGCAAATAGTGGGGATGGTTTGCTTATGATGACATCAGTTTCTATGGACTCCAACCCATTTTTTACACCGGCTCTGGCTTATGTTGTCTTCCCCTTCTGCTATGCATCTCCTGTCTCCCGATGCTGCTCAGCACACCTCAGCCATGTTTTGTGGGATTTAATATTTCCCTACATATTTGATGCATCCAAGTTGTTTATCAGACAAACAGACAAATTAAACTTTATCAGGCTCTGAAATGCCAAGACCTTTTGTGTTCTCCCGGCATGCGTAGAGAGGATAAAAATTGCGGCAGCTAGGAGAGCAAGGAGCCTTGCAAAATATATAGCTTTGATTAATACTTTCAATCCAGTCCCAGATTAAATATATTGAAAACATTTAATAATAACCTTTCCACCTCCCTTGGTGAGATGTGCTTAGCATTTGATTCGTCTCTGCGTCTGGAGGTTAAGGCGCCTAGCTTTCTGAAGGTTATGCATTGTGCCTGGCTGGGCCTCTCTAGGCTCTTGCAGGCAGCAGTCTTTATTTCCGCTGATGAGGGGTTGAGAAATGTGCGTGCGGGTCTTGGTAGCAAAGCATTTTTAGCAGCAAAGCCAGTTATTACTCAGCG